ACCATCAGCAGGTGAAGACTGCCAGCGCCGAGGACAAACCGACAGGTCGAGCTGCCCTCCCCAGGCTGAGGCCAGGCCTCATCCCACACAGAGCTTTTTGGCGTGTGGCCAAAGCCAGGGCAGGTGCCCGTCCACAGCGGTGTGGCTGAGTCCCAGGCCTCATCCACACAGACGCGTTGGTGCGGCCAAAGCAGGGCTGGGTAGTCGGCAGAAGGCAGGGGTCTGGGGCAGTGTGCTAGGATCATGTGTTCTGGATAAGGCCTTAGTTACCCCAAAAAGCTGTTGTAAAGGAATTCGTAAGCCGAGGCCAAGTGGGCTCATGCCTGGAATCCCGGAGCCACTTGTAGTGAGGCGCTGATGGCCAGGTGGATCGCTTCGGAGGCGTCGAAAGTCTGGATGGGAGGACCAGCCGGGCAACCACAGCCTAAGACTGGCTATCTTACGGAAACATGTTAAAAGCGAATTTTTATCGGACGGCGTTCTTTTTTTTTGTGACCGTGCGCCTGTGTGACACGCTGGAGATGGGTTAGGGGGTTGCGGACGTGGGACTGGTGAATCCAGCCGCCTCACTGTACTCCAAGCGCGTGGGGATAGCAGAGCAAGACCGCGGGGGGTCTTAAAAATGTATAGTCGTCTACTCTACCTATCTGAAATTCTCACAACAATAAAAAATGACCCCAATAGAAACGCGGCAAAAAGGATGTCGAGAACAGACATTTTCGTCCCAAACAAAACATGCAAGATGGTCAACACTGTGCAGATCAAAATACCACAATTGAGATTCCTTCATATCCACTAGGGATGGAGAGAAATGAAAAAACAGCAGGTGTTGAGTGAGATGGTGGAGAAAGCTGGAAGCGCCGTGTGCTGCTGGGGAATTTGCAAAGCTGCAGCTGGGCTGCATTTGTTTGGTGGTTCCTTTCGGTGGTTCCTCAAAAAATTAAATTTAATGGCCGGGGCGCCGGTTGTGGCTCAAGCCTGTTAATTCCAGCCTTTGGCCGGGATGGCCGAGACGGGCTTTGGTTCACGAGGTCACAAGTATCAAGACCCATCCGTAGCTAAACCATTGGTGAAACCCCGTCTCCTACTAAAAAATACTAAAAAACCTAGCGGGCGTTAGTGGTGGGCGCCTGTAGCCCGACTACTCCGGAGGCTTTGAAGGCAGGAGAATGGCGTGAACCGGGAGGCGAGCTTGCCAGAGCGGAGATCTGGCCACTGCACTCCAGCCTGGGCGTGGGCCCGACAAGAGCCAAGACTCCATCTCAAAAACCTTCCAGCATCTGTCCTCCACTGCCTCACCACCACTCATCTGTTAGAGTGCTTATCTTAGTCGTCACGTTGTTTTTTGTGGGTTTTTTGTTTTGTTTTGTTTTTTGTTTTTACAGTCTTGCTCTGTCACCCAGGCTGGAGTGTAGTGGCTCAACCTCAGCTCACTGCAACCTCTGCCTCCCAGGTTCAAGCGGTTCTCCCGCCTCAGCCTCCCAAGTAGCTGGAATTACAGGCGCCCACCACCACGCCCAGTTAACTTTTTGTGTTTTTAGTAGAGACGGGGTTTCACCATGTTGGCCAGGCTGGTCTTGAACTCCTGACCTCAGGTGATCCACCCATCTCAGCCTCCAAAGTGCTGGGATGACAGGCGTGAGCCATCGCGCCTGGCTGTCGTAATGTTTGAATTTGCTTTTTAACATTCTTTTGGAGTGTCTTGTTCTCCCGTCATAGTTCAGCACTTTGATCTCCTTGGGGTCAGACGCTATGGTTTTATATTCTGTACTTGATATTCCTGAGTCCAAGCCTCCTGATGCTCTTCTCTGCTGTCGTGTGCATTTTTAAGAATGGGAAGCATTCGTTGGCACCTGATCTCTAAGGCCCAGGTGCCAGGGAGACTCCAGGGTGACCTGCCTCCAGGGTGACCAGGCCAGCTCAGGCCCCCTTGGGAGGGACCTGCCAAGGAGAGGCTGCAGTGTAGGGCTGGGACAGTGACCTCTCCTCCACCTGGAGCCACAGCCAGGGGAGCTGCCCCCTCCCAGCAACTTCCTTCCCTTGCTGCCCCTGGTCTGTCTCCTTTCCCACCCCGTCCCTCACCCCCTTGACCTCTGCCTATCGTTCTGGAGGACAGAAGTCTGGTTGGGGCTGCTTGAGGACCACTGTCCTCCATGTCCTGATGTTGAAAGATGACACTGTTCCCTGCTTTCTGGGTGGTGCCGTCAGAAGGCAGCAGCCCTGACCGGGGTGGTTCCCACAGCCTCCTTGGGGCTGCAGAGTCCGGCCTGGGAGTCGGCCTCCTGAGACCCTGTGTGCATCCGAGAACCATGGAGGCAAGCTCTCCACGGATCTTCAGCCAGGGTGTGGTGTGGGTGGCTCCGAGGGCTGGAAGCTGGGAGGGAACAGACCTCGCTGCCCCACGGCAGGCTGCTCCTGCACAGCAGACGCAGGAGAGCCTCGGCCAGAGAGGGCTGCAGCCCAGGGCCCCCAGCAGCACTCCGGGCCAGCAGGACTGGGCTCCCATTAGCACAGAGCAGAAGGGTGCCCGTTTCTGTGGAATTGCAGATGGACAGCACATAATGGTCAGCATGCCAAATATACATAAATACAGCGTTCTGAAATTTCGCCCACTGGAAAGTCCACATGGTTCATCTGCACCATGTGCCGGGTCCAGGCAGCCCTGACAGGCGCTCAGCCCACCCCGCCGGGGCCTGCGTGGGCCACGGTGAGGCCGGCACAAATGCCTCTGTTCACTGTTCTCAGCGAAGACAACGTCCCGGACCCCAAGGAAGTGAAGGAGAGGTTCGGCGGCAGCCTCGTGGCTGCCCTGAGCGCGACCGGGCCGCGCTTCCTGGCGTACTTTGGCTCCTTCGCCACGGTGGGGCTGCTGTGGTTCGCCCACCACTCCCTCTTCCTGCACGTGCGCAAGGCCACGCGGGCCATGGGGCTGCTGAACACGCTCTCGCTGGCCTTTGTGGGCGGCCTCCCGCTGGCCTACCAGCAGACCTCGGCCTTCGCCCGGCAGCCCCGCGACGAGCTGGAGCGTGTGCGCGTCAGCTGCGCCATCATCTTCCTGGCCAGCATCTTCCAGTTTGCCATCTGGACCACGGCGCTGCTGCACCAGGCGGAGACGCTGCAGCCCTCAGTGTGGTTTGGCGGCCGGGAGCACGCGCTCATGTTCGCGAAGCTGGCCCTGTACCCCTGCGCCAGCCTGCTGGCCTTTGCCTCCACCTGCCTGCTGAGCAGGTTCAGCGTGGGCATCTTCCACCTCATGCAGATCACCGTGCCCTGCGCCTTCCTGTTGCTGCGCCTGCTCGTGGGCCTGGCCCTGGCCAGCCTGCGGGTCCTGCGTGGCATCGCCCGGCCTGAACACCCACCACCGGCCCCTACGCACCAGGACGACCCACAGTCCCAGCTCCTCCCTGCCCCCTGCTAGCGGCCACAGCGCGCGCTCCCTGCCATCCCCACCAGAGATGGACCAGGGAGGACAGGACACCGGGCAGGGGAAGCCAAGTCGTGGGCAAGCCACAGTGGTTCTTGCGTGGCCGGGTTTTATTTTCATTGTGAAATACGCTCTATTTCAGTCCTCAAATTGTTCTCCACTTTTTGCAGAGAGAGGAATTTCACAGGAACTTGAAATGTGCCTTATGGCATTTGCCTATCCACTCTCCAACCTGAAGACACGTTACCAAGCCCACCCACCCGAGGGACTGCCCACTCCCAGCCCCTTCGAGGCCTATACAGAGCTGGCGGCGGGGGCAGGGGATGCCATGCCAGGTTGTTGACACAAAGATGAGGAAGAGATGGCAGGACAGTGATGCCCAAACTGTATTTGTCCCAGATATAAATTACTGTTGCATTCAGGCAGCGATAAATACAGAGGGGCCCGGTTGGTGTACAGGGCACAGAGCTCACCTGGGTACAGACTCATTCACATACAGGACAAGCCCCTCACCACAGTTACACACGATTCATACACACCACAGTCCACACCAGGGCTCGCGAAGCAAAACTAATCACAAATGAAGGACTGGTCTTGACGATGACGTAAACAAGAGTGCACACGTGAGGCCGTGAGCAGGCCTTACAATGCATGTGTCTGTGCAATTTTGGCAGAAGCGGGGGGGTCAGGATTAGTGGCACCAAGGGTCCCCCAGGAGGCTGCAGCAGGCTGGGCCAGGCCACACACTCCTGAGGCCAAACCAGAGCCACTTCTGAGGTCAAGGCCACACCCCGAAAGCTCCCCAGAATCGGAGGCCCAGGCCAGCTGTGCCCCACAAGGGGAAGGGGGACATCCTCACCATGGGCCTGTTTCTCGTGGGGGGAGTCAGGGCTTCCCACAGGGCTGGCTCCATTTTTGGTCAGACTCCTCCTGGGGCCAGTGCACCATCTGAATCCTTGGGCACGTGGAGGCAGCTGTCTTTTGACTGGGTGCACCCCAGCCTGGCCCAGACGCAGGACCCTCCACCAAGCTGTCTGGGGGACGTGGGAGCAGGGGTGCTGCGGGAGCTGGGTCTCCACATGCTGACGAGGGATAGGACTGAGCAGATGTCGGCTCACACAGACACTGGGAACTGCATGTCAGCAGGGAGCAAGCAGCGTGGAAAGTGCTAGCATGGGGTCTGGGGCTGAAAGCCAGCTCCTCCGCCACATGCGTGGAGCTGTCTCCGCCTCCACAAACTCCTCCGCACCGCCATGTCCTGCTTTTGGTCTCTTCTGGGTGCTAAATGCCCAACCCTGAGGGCCGAGGGGCAGACACTTGGGCCCGGCCCACATTCTGGTGCTGCCAGGGCAGTACCTGAGACCTCCTGGCCTCCACACGACAGAGGTTCTCCTCCCCCAGCACAGGCACTAGGGAAGGGCCACCAGGCCCAGCTGGGCACTGTGCCCCTGCAGCTGTCCCTGGGGTCCAAGCTGCCATCTGTATATAACAAGGCCGAAAACAAGGGAAGGCACCTTCTCTCTTCCCCCAACACAAGGAAGTCACCAGTCACAACCACCCAGCAGCCCGACGCTGCCCACCAGGGACTGCCCACACCTGCTGTCCAGGGAGGGGAGGCTGGAGGGGCTGGCAGCCTGTGTCTGCTGGGGGTAAGGACACACCAGGGAGCCTGCTGCTCTGAAAGACTGGCCAGGGGGAAGGCCTGAGGGACACAAAGCGAGGTCAGACCCACCTGGACGGCCAGCGTCCAGCACTCTCCAGCTCAAGGGGCTTGGCAGGGAGAGGTATGGAGGGATGAGTGCCCACCCCTGAGGAGAGGACCAGGCCCCCACAGGGCAGAGGGCTCACCCGCCAGAGCCCTGTGCCCACTCGGGACACGGGGAAACACTGCCACCCACACAGCAGTCTCCAGTGGGATGAGGGCTGGTCCTGCTCTGGCCCCAGGAAGATGATGCGGTCAGGGCTGTAGCCAGGTCCAACCACAAGGCCGGCCACAGTGTGGACGTGGAGCTGCCTCTAGACCAACTGAAAACAAGGCTGGTGGAGGCGGAGGCAGAGACGGCTCGAGCCCCTGGGCTGCCTCAGCCACCCCTACCTAGGATCGCCCTCAGGGGCAGGCGCGTCCGCCCGGGCGTCCCTGGTGGTCGCGGCTCTCTTCGGCTTCTGCTTGGCCTTCCTCAGCATGTGGACCTGTCCCGGGGCAGGGGGCAGAGGGCCAGGGTGACACGGCCGATGAAAGAACAGTACACGGGCAACCCCAAGTCCTTGGGCCCCGGGCAGCTGACGCCATCTCAGTTCACGGAAGGGGAGGGACCTGCCTGGCTGCTCCCTGTGCCACCTGTCGCCTGCCTGACCGCTGGCACAGCCTTCCTCTGAGGCAGGCACCCTCCCCGGAGTCAAGGAAGACCAGGGCCACAGCAGGCCATGCCAGCACCACCCAGGTACCACCGGCCACTCCCACAACCGGCCCAGCCTGGCCCACCTCTCCTGGTTCTCCAGCCTCACCCCACGTACCTTAGGGCCAGCAGCTGAGATGATCATGTGCCCCGGGGCCTGGACCCAGGGCTCCCCGTCCACCTGCACCGGGGTGGCCTTGAGGAGTGTGACCCGGAAGTAGGAACCCTGGGCAATCCGGATCCCAGAGCGCAGCCCACCCTGGACCTGGCCCTGGAGCAGGAGAGGCCAGCTGGGCTCAGTGGGGACCAGGGACACCACCCTGGGCTCGCCCACACACCCGGGCGGCAGCTCACCATGTGCACGACGCCCGTCACGCCCACCACCTCCAGCAGCCCATCATCCATGCGCGGCTTCTCAAACCTGGCGTCGCTGTCTGAGCCCCACAGGTCGGCCCCGGAACCCCAGCTGCGGCATAAGAAAGCGGACACAGAGGTGTAGGTGCAGGCGGGACGAGGGCTGAGCCTGCCAGTGGCCCCGCCTGGCAGAGCTTCTGGGGAGCCCGTGAGCACCTGGGAATGTTGATGAAGATCAGGCCTTCGATACTGGGCAGCTCCACCTCCTGCCGCTCCACCTGCAGCCGGATCTGCTTGTGCAGGCTCCGAGAGTGACTGATCTTCTGCAGCCCCACCCGCACGTACACACCCTTGTTGTGCAGCCTGCGGGACAGGGCGGGCTGCCCATCACTGGGGGAGCACTACCCCGCCTTAGGCAGCCTCCGCGTTCTGGCCCCTCTGCCTGTCCCTGCTGGGGGACCCGAGGAAGGTATGCCATCACCAGGTGGCGGCCCCTCCCTGCTGGGGGACCCGAGGAAGGTATGCCATCACCAGGTGGCAGCCCCTCTGCCTAACCCTGCTGGGGGACCCGAGGAAGGTATGCCATCACCAGGTGGCGGCCTCTCCCTGCTGGAGGACCCGAAGAAGGTATGCCATCACCAGGTGGCGGCCCCTCTGCCTATCCCTGCTGGAGGACCCGAAGAAGGTATGCCATCACCAGGTGGCAGCCCCTCTGCCTATCCCTGCTGGGGGACCCGAGGAAGGTATGCCGTCACCAGGTGGCGGTCCCTGCGGCTCTAGTACCTGCTTGTGAACTTGCCAGGCTCCTCTTCCCGCGCCTGGTGGAAGTCCAGGCTCAGCTCCGCATCGATGCCAATGCCACAGTAGTTACTCATCTGCACGATCTGGGGACAGGGCGTTCATCTCCCAGGACCCGGCCGCCCTCACCAGGCCCCCTGAGCTCCCCAACAGCAGGTCTAGTTTTTTGCCTCCTGCCGGCAGGAAGAGACAAGAGCAAGGGCCACCCCGGCAACAAGCCCACCACCCAGGAGAGGGCAGCGTGGGCAGGTCCCGGCCAAGCTCTGTCGCCAGCTGGCTCAGCACAATTCCCAGCAGTGGCCACTCTCTGTGCCTCCCTCAACTACCTACTTTGCAAAGGGGATGATGTGGGTGCATACATCTGAGTGTGGCTGGGAGGAGGATGCCCACTGTGACACGTGTGACCAGGTCATATGCGGAAGCCTGAAGGGCACCCCACGCCGGGCCACCCTGTACCTTGGGGGGCTCTGCGTCTGCGGTGCCATTCTCTGCACTGGCAGCATCGTGGGCGTCCAGCAGGATGGTCCAGCGGTCCATGAGCACGGCGTCGGCCTCGTCCACGGAGAGCAGCACGGACAGTGGGTCCTCGCCGCTGTAGCCTGCCCCCCAGCGGAGGACTCGGCCAAGGTCATTCCCTGGGACACAGGCAGACACAGAGCATCTGTCCACACCCACCCGCCCATCAGCCAGGTGCAGACCCCACCACAGGGACAGACGCCAGCCCAGGCCTCAGCAAAACTGCGCAGGAAGGGGTAGACCCTGAGGCCCCCTCCTCGGCTGCATGGCTGACCCCACCTGTGCCCAGGGGCAGGATGGCCACAGAAGGCTCCGGGCAGGCCAGTCGGTACCGTGTCTCCTCCAGGGCGCCGAGCACCCAGCCCACCGTGCCGTCGCCACCGCACACCAGCACCCGGAAGCAGGGCACCTGGGAGAACAGGTGGAGCCTAGCAGGAGACAGGAAGTGTTCTCCAGCAGCTGTGGGCGCAGCCCATCCCCCACCCAGGCTGCCCCTTCCTTTTCAAATGCCCGTCCTGGCCATGTGGAGGACTTCAAGGTCCCAGCACGGGATCCCAGTGGAGCTCCTGCCAGCCGAGACAGCTGTGGCAGCCTCCTGGGGCCCCTCCCACCCCTCCTGCCCCTACTGCTGCCCTGGACCAGGGGTCCTGCTGGACTCACCCAGGAAGGGGACCCCCGTTGGTCAGGTCGAAAACCTGGTGAGGGTTCAGTAGCTTCCGGAAGCTGCAGAGCAGGTCTCGGCCCTTGAGGCCTCCACTCTTGGGGTTCACGAACACAAGGAGGGGACAGCTGTCTGGGGGCAGCTTCGCGTGCTGACAGACAGGGGACTGGGTTAGGATGGGGACCCAAGGTAGGGTGTCCCCACTGCTGGGGCTGCCAGGCAGTGCCCAGCCCCCAACCCTGAGCCCACCTGGCCTGGACCAGCCCCCTCCCCAGGAAGGTGTGGCCAGCTGTAGCTGGCCTCACATAAGAAGCATCACACATCAGCTGCGTGGTCACCCCATCTCGCTGCTGGCCAGCAGGGCGGCACTGAGGCCAGCCGGCTGGCTGCCTGGTGCTCCCAGCACAAAGGCCTCGGACATGCCCACTGAGCTGAGTGTGAACAGACCACACCCGCCTGGGCCATGCAGCCTGTGAGTCCAGGCTGGAAATCCACATGGGACTCTGCCTGGCACTCCTTGCCTGCGAGACCAAGGCTTGTCTCCTGGGGGACCTCCTGTGCACACCTTTGGAGGATGGCGGCTCCCAGGCCCCCACCCACCAACACAGCAGCCGAGAAAAGCTCTTAACTCACAGAGTGGCACGCGGAGTCCTTCAGCCACAGGACAGAGCCCATCTCCCCAAACACAACCCCAAGAAACAGTACCCAGGGATCTAGACACAGCGGGCTCAGGGCTGGGGTCCCTATAACAGGAGGCTGGAGCCCCCACAGCGGGGACGGCTGGGCAACAGGAGACACACAGGCCGGGTGCAGACACAGGGTGGGCGGCGGCACAGGGGCCAGCCGTGGCTGGGGGCAAGGACACACTCGGGGCTTCGTGACCCACTTGGCAGGCACAGCCGCCTGCGGTCACCACTTACCACTCACCCCAGGGCAGGCAGCTGACGGGAGAGAGAAAGCACGTGTCGGCCCCACACCTGGCTCTGCCCACAGAGCGAGTGGGGCTGGGGCAGGGGCTGCATCTTCGGGACCGTGGGGATGGCCACCCTGTCCTGAGCCAGGCAAGGCCAGGTGTAGGGACACAGGAGGGACCCACAGGCATCACCCGTCCCAGCCACAGACAACTCATTCAGATCAAGTTCTGCTTCGTCTGGACTGGGGTCAGGGTCAAGGGTCAGGGTTCAGGGGCAGAGCAGCCATAGACACCTGGGGGTCCTCGTGGGACCCTTTGGGGGCTGGATGGGCAGAGAACGAGAGGCCACTATGAAGGCACGGTGTGCAGCGTGGAGTCCCTCCATGGGCCAGACCCCCATTTCCCCGGCCCTGCCCTGTCTCCATGGGCCAGACCCCCCTTTCGCCCGGCCCTGCCCCGTCTCCATGGGCCAGACCCCCCTTTCGCCCGGCCCTGCCCCGTCTCCATGGCCAGACCCCCCTTTCGCCCGGCCCTGCCCTGTCTCCATGGGCTGGATCCCCCTTTCCCCCAGCCCTACCCTGTTGCCAGGTGCCCCCTCTTCTGGGCACTGTGGGTCTTAAGGACAGCGTCCAAAGTTTGGGAGCTGCACTGACTGGCCTGGGGAGCTCCAGGCAGAGAGCAGAGGCCCTACGTCCTCCTGGGCAGGGGGAGTGAGGCTGAGGCTGTACCGGGAGGGCCGTGCCTGGGATGCTGACAGCTGGTCACAAACACGCTCTGGCCCTTGGTGAGGCAGCCGCAGCGGGACCCAGCGCATCCAGGAGCTGCCTCCCTACTGGGTGGAGGCCTCAGGTGCAGCGTGGAAGCTGGGCCTGGCCCCGCGGTGCCCCACGGAGCTGGTATCACCCACTGGGCAGCCTCGGATGAGCGCTGACCCTCTGGCCTCAGGCCCTTTGCTGTAAAACGGGCAACAGCGTCCTCCCTGCTGTTGTGAGGCACAGACAAGGTGGCACCTACGAGCCCCCAGTGAATTCGATGAAGAGATGCCAGAGGAAAAGAGCGAGTCTGGCTGTGGGGCCTGTGCACCTGAAGACCCGGACCTCCCTCTCGCCACCCCCGGGGTGTGTGAAGAGCCGGCTCCACCGCTCACTCACCAGCAGGTCGGGGAGCACCAGTGCAGTGAGCGGCCGGCCCCGCACAGCCATGTCCTTGAGCAGCACGTACAGCCGCTCGGCCTCCGAAAAGCAGGTGACATCCAGCACTACTGCGCCTGTGGTAGGGGCCCGGGACTCAGGGGAGCCTGTCCCATAGCCCCCACGGTGCCAGGGCAGGAAGCAAACCAGGGTTTCCCCAGCCCAGGGCTGCCCAAGGGAAAGGTCAGGTGCTACGTGAGGGCCAGAGCTGTCCCACTTCACCCCAGGAACACCCCTGGGCCCCATGTGACCACGTCCATCAGGGCGGCTCACCTTGGGAGGAGTAGACGTGACTCACAGACACCACGGTGGCTGCAAAGGCGGGCTGTAGTCAGGGCGGTGGGAGGTGAAGGACGTACCGCACGGGGGCCAGGGACAGCCCCTCCGCCTGTTCAGGGGTGACGTCTCACCCCAAGGGCAGCCTCCCCAGAAAGCACCCCTGCCCCACTCTAAGAGCAGGACTCCCAGCTCCCCGGAGGTCCAGGGCCCCCCAGAGGGAGAGGGAGAGGCAGAGGCTGAGCACCACAGGGAAGGGCCACAGAGGGCGGGAGGCTACACAGCCTCTTGGAGGAAGGGACGTGGGCTGGACCTGGAGCTTGGGCCTCGGTGGCTCAAGGAGAGGCAGGAGCTGGCCTCAGCACTGCAGCCCCACTGCCTGCCGCCGGACCCTGCCCCCAGCCAGCAGCCCACGGCCAGCCACGGTGGTCACACCTTTGGTAGCCACGGCCTCATGCAGCAGGCTGCTGTACTCCTCGGGGGACAGGCCGGGAGGCAGGCCGCCAACAAACAGGGAGACGTGCGGGGCTACATCCCTGCTCTCTGCCACGTAGAACCGCGTCTGGCTCACCTGTCGCACGGACATCTGCAGGGAGAGGGGCGGGGACGCTGGGCCGGGGAGAACGGCACCACCGCACCAGGCCCTCTGCCTCCTCACCCGCAAAACAGCAAAACGGGGTGTCAGGAACACTCCCAGGAATTAAGTCAACAGGAAAATGAGCAAAGGGGCCAAAGAGGCTTCCTTGCTGTGGATAACCCCTGTCCATTCCCCTCAAGGAACTCGGAGAGGTCTGCAGCTCAAGGCATCCCTGCAGGGACCAAGTAACTTATGACAGAGGGCACTGCCCTGCCAGCCAGGACAGCCGCTGCCTAGCCAAGAAGAACCTGGCGTCTGGGGCACACCCACCCTGTGGGGCAGAGGCTGTGGCTGAGAGCTGCCGGTTCCCTGGGGGCCAGCGTCCACACCCACTGACCTGCCGGATGTCCTGTAGCCGGTCCAGCAACGGCTGTTCGTCCATCAGCGCTGTCCGCTGCACTGCAGAGGTTAGAGACACAGGCCGTCAGCACCAGGCTCCTTGCCCACCTTAAAAACAGCTGCCCTGAGCCCCCAGGGCCCATGGGGATGCAGGGTGGAACTGGTCAGGAGGACAGGGCCCGGTCTTGATGTCCGGCACCACCCTGCAGGAGAGCCTGGGCAGCAGGCCCAAACCCAAAAGGTGCAGGGACCGCCACACCCAGCACGGGCCGTCTACTCACCCTGCCTGCAGCCCATCGCCACCTCCACCAGCTGGAAGCTCTCAGGACCCTCGGCCTGTTGGGGCGGAGCTTGGCATCAGGTCTGGGCAGGCCCCTACCACCTCAGGACACCCACGGGGACAGCCACGCCTGGGCTGGGATGGTGGCCTGGCCTCCTTGGGACAGTGACCCCCAACCAAGTCTGGCCAGGATGGGGAGCAGGCCCAGGGTACACACCTGGCGGCCGAGCAGCGGCAGGACCTCCAGCACCACGGAGCGGGCTGTGCTCTTCGGGGTCACTCGCACGGATACATAGGCCACGCCCACCCTGTGAGGACGCAGCCTGAGCTGGAGCTCCCCCCACCCCGCCCAGCAGACCCTGAGCCTCGGGCCCAATCTCACTTGAGCCAGCCAGGGTAGATCTTCAGGACCTCCTGGGCCCGCGGCAGAGCCCGGATGACCCAGGCCTCTGGTGTGGCCTCGCCGGACCCAGGGCTTCTGCCCTCCTCCGAAATCACAGCACTCCCAGCCTTGCCCCCAGCCCAGGTGTCACAGGCCTTCAAGGAAGGGGGCAGCGGGCACAGCTCCAGGTGGCCAGGGTCCTCGGGGATGTGGTGGACCCGAAGCGCGGCCTCCTGCAGGGCACCAGGTTGGGGAGGCCAAGTTGTGGGGGGTCAGGCACGGTTCAGTGGGGGGCAGGTCGCGGGGCGGGGGCAGGTGGGTGAGGGGGACCAGGTTGGGGGAGCCAGGTCGGGGGCACCGGGTGCGGGGACATGCAGTGGGAGGTGGGGCTCAGACACCTGCCCCGAGCTCCCCCTTACCAGCACCTCCTCGGCACTGGCCAGGCGGGACACCGTGATGAGGCGGAACTGGCTTCTCCTCACCGCGTCGTCACCATCAAAGATTTTCAGCGTTTGCTTCCCTGGGCCGGGGAAGTTCCATGAGTCCAGAGCGCCCGGGGATGTCAGCAGAGTTGCGGGGAAGGAGGAGGGCACTTACCGGACTCCGGAGTCGCCGGTGTCTCTCTGCCTGGACCCACGGCAGCGCTCCCGTCGGCGCCATCGCCTCCCTCGCCTGCGGGTCGGGGACACGGACCCCTCACTCAGTGCGCAGCCCCCAGCCCAGGGCGCCCCGGCCGGCCCGCACCTCACCCGGCTCCACCGCCTCCGCGATGCGGAAGCTCTGCGTCTTGCTGAAGCCACCGGGCAGGAGGCGCACGCACGCCGGGGGCAGGACCAGGGAGCGCAGACGCCCGAAGCCGCACTCGGGAGCCAGCACCGCGGAGCAGACGGAGTGCGCCTGGGGGGACAAGGGAGGGACAAGGGCCTGAGCTGGGGGGTCGGAGCCGGGGCACCAGGTGCGCTGGGTCCAGGGAAAGACCCCACACGTCGCAGACCTAGCCTGGACCCCGTGTCTTTCCTGCCTCCAGCCCCCGAGCGCCCACCTGGACCCCAGGCCTCTCCTGCCCTGCCCCCTCCACCTCCCAGCGCCCCCCTGGACCCCGTGCTTTTCCTGCCCCGCCCCCTCCACCCTCCAGCGCCCACCTGGACCCCGTGCCTCTCCTGCCCCGCTCCCCCAACTCCTCCGCCTCCCAGCACCCGCCCGACCCCGCACCTCTCCTGCCCCACCCCCACCACCTCCCAGCGCCCACCTGGACCCCGCACCACTCGCAGCGCACTCCGGCCAGCACGTCAGAAGAGCCGCACGTCTTCCTGCAGACCTCGCAGCGCGCTCCTGAGGGCAGGTTCCCCTCCCGCCAGTGGTGGTGATGGGTGTCCTGCAGAGCGGGGCAGTCAGCAGCTGGGCCCGCCCCACCCCCCAGGGCTCCCTGGGGCTGGTGCACTCACGTGATCCTGGTGCCCATCCTGGTGGCACTGGCGGCAGTCACTGCAGGCGAAGGGCACACAGTCTGGGTGGAGGTGCAGCTCACACACTGCGGGGCAGGCAGGGTTGGGGGCAGGCAGGGTTAGAGGTGTCTGCCATGCCCCGGAGGACCCCTGCCTCTGCTGGCGCTTGGGTCTGGCCCCATCCCTACCACCTAGCACCCCGCATCCTTTAACTGTCTTGTGGCCTGCCGGGCGGCCAGTCCTCGGCTTCCCCCGATCACCCCTGACAAGCTGCAGCAGGGGGTGGGCTGGGCCACCCTGGGCATCAGAGACCAGGACGCGGAGTGGGGCAAGGGGAGCCAGACAGGCTCCAGGTACCTTCGCAGTGGAGCGCAGGCGCCTCCAGGACTTTGCGGCAGACAGCACAGAACTTGCGCTTGTGGAGCCCCCGGGGGCTGAAGCAGTGGGCCACGGGAACCTGGCCAGGGAAGACGCAGCCTCACCTCAGCGCTCTTGGTAAGCGCTACAGGCTGCCCGCTGCCCCTCCTCCTCTTCACTTGCACAACTCTGCAGCTCACGCTCCTGCTGGGCTGGTGGGCCGGCCGTGCCACCCGGAGGCCCCAGGAGCAACCACAACCCCCGGTTCTGGGGGCAGCCTGGCTGGTCAAAAGCAGGGAGCAGGCTGTGGCCTTCCCCAGCAGCCCTACCTAGCGCAGGGGAGCGAGGCCCCCCTGCCACCCCTTCCCTCCTTGGGGCAGGCGAGGCTCTGTCAACCGCCTGGCATCTGTCTCCTCGGAGCCAGGAAGATCCCAGCACACAGGGACTGCCCTCTGGGAGACGCTCAGGCCATAACAAGTGTGGATCAATGTTTCTGTGTTGGGGAGGGCTGGGCTGCTGCTTTTCCACGAGAAGGGAAGGACAAGGACCAAGTCTTCACTCCCAACTCTTGCCCTTATCCCCAAACTTAAACCACACCCGATAAAAGCATACACAGAAAGACCGTGTTCCACAATTTCAGGTGTGAGCATACCAGAATGGTGGGTGACTTTTATTTTGTCAAATATATCTTTTAAACTTCCTATTATGCATATAATTGAAATACATATTTTCCCAATTAACCAAAGTATAGAAAAGTACATTAAAATCAATTTTAAAAAGCTGCAGCCTCAGGCCGTCCACATGAGGAGGGGCTGTCCAAGCCAATGTGGCATCCCCAGGATCCCGGCCACCACCAGGGCCAGGATCACAGCCACCACCAGGGCCAGCGTCCGCAGGCTTCCTGCTCACACCCCGGAAACTGCATCATTAGGAACAGGGCATCAGACATTAGAGGGGACGGCGCAGCCGGATGCCCGCCAGTGGCAGGTGCGCCTGCTGGCCTGGCTTCCCGTCCTGCTGCACACCTGGGCCTGCCTCACAGCCTGCACCCCACCTGCGGCCTGAGCACTTCAGGGAATGCAGACATGGGGGGCCTCAGTCTGCAGACGGCGGGGCTGACAGCTGAGGGAGGAGTAAGCCTGGCCCTTCCTACATGTCCCTGCTGTCACCACTGTCACCAGAGAACAGCTCCATGGCACAACCTTCACCCGGGGCTGTCTTGGCAGGTGTGTCACTGGGTGCCTTGCCCACTCCCAGCCCCCGGCAGCCTTTGCCCCAGCCCAGGGCTCCTGCAGTGCCCTGCAGTGCCTTGGGCCAGTCACTTCCCTGCCCCACTCAGAGCCCTTAGGGGGAGGCTGGTGGCCAAGACACCCTCAGGCACCCAGACTTCCTGCCTTTGCTTTTTATTCAAGCTTCCTTGAGGTGCCTGTGGGTTCACACGCAGCTATGAGGAATGGCATAGACCCCCTGAAGCCTTTGTCAGCTCCCGTAAGTGTGTCATCTTGCAAACTAAGGTCACATCACAGCTGAGATGCTGACACCCCAGATGCGGAAATCATCCCCCCAGGAGCCCTCACGCTGCATGTCACAGCCACACCCACTTCCCGGCCTGGAGACCTCTCTACATCTGTGTAGATGTTTAGTTTCGTCATTTTGAGCACGTTCTGTGGACAGGATCTTGCTAACTGTGACCTTTGGGACTGGCTTTTATCATCATTCCCTACAGATCCATGCAGGGTGCTGAGCCTTTTAATCCCGAGCAGTGTCTGACCTTTGCCTTTCAACCGCAGGTATCACTAACATCTGACATGAAGGGTCTCAGTACCTCGACCCCACGAGAGCTGACACATCCCCCAGCCTCTTGCAGGTGCAACACCCAGCCCCACACTCACCCGGACCAGGCTGGGCGCCACACTCGTGCACGGGATCCTCACGAGCTTCAGGCACTTCTCATGGGACATGAAATTGCAGACTGTGGGAATGAGCGCTGTGTGAGTTGGCCCCTGTCCCACCCAATGGCTGTCCTACCCAGGAAGTTAGAGGCCCCAGGGCAACTACTGCCATACCCACCTGTGATTCTCCGAGTTCCCCCCGCCCCCCCCTCCACCCAGCCCCACTCATTGGAGACAGCCTGCAGCCCAAGAGCAAGAACCTGGGTGGTCCTGACCATCCTGGAGGACAATGAGTGTGTCCTCTCATCCAGAGAGCAGCCCCTCCCCTTCGCACATGGGCCCAGCGCTCCTCTTGCCTCTGCAGCTGGGCCTCTCAAGGGGCAGCCCTGGGCTCACCAGGCTTGCTAAGTGGCAGGGGCGTCTCGGGCTTCTGCAGACTGGCTTTGCCAGGGACACCTGTGTCTCACTCCCCCGAAACTGCGCACACCCCTAATTTTCCCTGCTACGTGCTGTGCACCATGCCTGAGACCTAGAGCCACCCAGGGCAGGTGAGGGCTCTGGGAGGCAGGAGCTGCTGGGGAGTGGACAGCCCTGAGCCTCCCAAGGAGCTCTGGCCATGTGCACAGGACCCAGGGAGCACCTCAGCCAGCAGGGTGCTCAGGAGGACATAAGAGCAGCAAGCGCCACACCCCAGCAGTGAAACAGACAGGAGGGTGGGGCCAGGGCAGAAGGGAGGGCAGGAGCCCTGGGCTGGGGCAAAGGCTGCTGGGGGCTGGGAGTGGGCAAGGCACCCAGGGACACACCTGCCAAGACAGCCCCAGGTGAAGGTTGTGCCAGGGAGCTCCAGGCTGCCCAGCTGGGACAGGGAGCTCTTCCAGAAGGCCCAGCTGGTGCCACAACACAGCGCCCTTCACCTGCTGCAGCCCTGGCTACCCCAGTCTCCAGATGGGACTCGGAGAAGTTCTTTCTGGCAGCTTAATAGAAAGGCTCTGGAAGCAGGCCAGGGTCCGCCGAGAGAAGAAGGGGAGACAGGCAGCACCCGTGTCCCTCCTCTGCCGTGGAGACAGGGCCTCCTCACCCCATGCCCCATGCTTGGGTCTCCGGGGGTGGGGGAGGGCGCCCTTCTTCCCATAGCCCTGCTGGCCCCTCTTCCTTGGGTGCTGCCCAGGAGGGCCCTTGTGCCCCCTCCCAAGGGGGAGGGGACCCGGAGTCTGGCCTCAAGCAGGGAGCCGCCTCAGCCACACATGCACACTCCCCACCTCGGGGGAAGCCCCTGGCGTCCCCAGGCAGCAGGCATGGCTGTGCCATACTCTGATGTGACAAAGAAGCTGGCAGGCCAGGCCACCTTGTGCGCCCTGGGGGTCGGAACAACCATGCCATTTCCACCACAGACGACATCCCTGTGTGAGGGGACAGTCTCTTCTGTGGACCCCGGCCTGAGTGGACCCCTATCCCCAGAGCAAAGGCCTGAATCCCTGAGCAGGGCAGAGGCTCCTTAGCCCCTGCCACCTCGGCGTCCCTGGCCAGGACACAGTAAGTGTCAAACGTCCAGGACTCCGGTCCTGACCCTCGCTCCCTCCAGAGGCTGGGCTGTGGTCCCCAGGGCCCGCCTGCTTGCCGCGGGGGAAGATGAGAGCCAGCCCTGGGAGCACCCGGGCCCAGAGCAGGGAAGGGCCGTCCTCACCCCAGACGGGGCTGGGCAGCTGGGTGGAGCAGGGCTGGGGCACGCGCACCGGGCGGCAGGGCCCGGCCTGGCTCTCCAGGTGGCTGGGACTCTGGGCCACAGCATGAGAAGGGCCAGGGCCAGGGGCCCAGGCCAGCTCTGCTCGGCCACACCTGCTGCCCCAGCCACTGGGAGAGGAAGCCGGCCATGGGGACCCCAGCGGAGGTCCCGCTCGCATCAGGCACAGCCCCCGGTCGCAGCCATCGCGCGGCACTATGGAGACACTGCCCGCACCTCCCAGGTGAGGAAGCCCGGAGACCCGCAGCCTGGAACGGCCCCACGGCGCACAGGCCCCGGCCGCCCCACGAAGGCAGGTCCCAAGAACAGGGCTGGGACCCCGCCCCCCACCCCGAAAGCGCCGGTGCCACCTCCGCTCAGGCTTCCGCCACGGGGCAGAGGCAGGGCTGCAGCCGGGTGGGCATCGGGCCCGGGCGCTCACCGTCGCACAGGAAGCCGGCCAGCCCCCAGATGAAGTCGGAACAGAGGTGGCAGAAGGTGGGCTTGGTGAGTGTCACCTTCCGGAAGCTGTGTCCTGGCCCGGCAACGGAGCCCGGGGCTCTGGCGCCCGCCCGCTCCGGCCCCGGCCCCGGCCCGGGTCCCGGCCCCGGGCGCGCGCGGCCTCCTGCGCCCAGCACGGGGCTGCAGGCCGGGCTGCCGGGGCGCGGGGAGCCGCCGCCCAGCCAGGCACGGGCCCCGGGCTCGGCCGCCGCCGCCATTCCCGGCCCGAACGGCCCGAGCCCCTTTTGGTCCGCGCTGGGGGTCCAAGAGCCCCAGCTCCACTGCCGCGCCGCGCAGCCCGGCTTCCGACTGCGCCCGCCCCACTGCGCAGACGCGGGCCGCGGGGCGGGGCCGTGCGCTGCTCGTGGGCGGATCTGGGGGCGGGTGGGGCGGGGCCTGCTACGGATCGCAGCTGCGCCCCGTCGATGGGCGGGACTGGGGGCGGGACTGGGGGCGGGCCTTGTGATGGGGCGGGGCGGGACCTGCGCGTGGGGGCCCCTCGCGAACCCGCAGTGGGGAACTGGTCCGCGTGGGCTCGGTTTGACCACAACCGGCCCAGACTCCCCTGCACGCGGACTCCGGACGCTGCACGCGCGGCGTTGTACCTGCGGGGCCGCGGCCCGCGGCTGCGCAGACAGGCGCCTCCCACGCGAGACGCAGATGCTCCCGGGAGTCCCCAGGAGCGCCGCGGGCCTCCCACAGTGGGTCCCGGGAAACGGGGTTTGCGGTGCTTGGGCGGCTCCGTCCGTGGGGTCTTCGCGGTCTTCGCACGCGCAGACCTGGTCCTGCCCAAGGCCCAGGACCCCCTCCGCCCGACTGGTGCCCTCACTGCAACGGGGAACCCGCCTGCGGCCCGAGGCTGTCGCCTCGCGACCCCCGCCCGGGCCTCACGCCTCACGCCCAGCTCTCCTGCTCGGTGCGCGCCGCGGGTCTTGTTCAGCTGGCGTTGGTGGCCTTTGAGAGCCGCGTCCACGCGGGTCACCCCTCCCCGCCGTTGGCAGCACTCTGGGTCCCTGCCCCCGTGGGCCTAACTGTGGACAGGAGTCTGCGCAGCCAGGGACCCCACCCCAAACCACCGAGCAGGGACCTGCAGAGGGCGGGGCTCCAGGGCCATCGCCGCAGGCGGTCCCAGGGGGCGGGAAGAGCAGAGGGGGGCCTGTCGGGGAGACGCCAGAAAGGGATTGGGGGCTGTGGACTGTGGAGGGAAGGAGCCGGGAGACCTGCCCTGGGGGCTATGCTGGTGGGGGCACCCAGGCCACAGGGGGATTCCAGGAGTGGAGGGTGAGCTGGAGACCCAGTCTGAGGAGGGAGGAGGAGGCCCCTCATATGCTGAGGGGGGAGACTCGGTCCTCAACCGGGAGGATTCTGTTTGTCCAGAAGCTGTTGGTTGAGCTGCTGGGGCAGGACCCTGGGTGGACCCCAGGGTAAAGGGAATGTAGCCAAAGCTTCAGGGGACCTCCACCCTCCAGGAGCTGTGCTCTGGGACAGACAGCACCCTGAAGAATGTGAGTGACCAGGAAGGGCTGCCTGCGGGCAGCGGGAAGGCATCCAGTCAGAGAGCCAGAGCTCTCAACTGCTGATGGGGATCTATTTAAGAAATGCAGACCGGAGGCCGGGCACGGTGGCTCAAGCCTGTAATCCCAGCACTTTGGGAGGCCGAGACGGGCGGATCACGAGGTCAGGAGATCGAGACCCGCCTGACCAACATGGAGAAACCTCGTCTCTACTAAAAATACAAAATTAGCTGGGTGTGGTGGCACATGCCTGTAATCCCAGCTACTCGGGAGGCTGAGGCAGGAGAATCGCTTGAACCCGGGAGGCGGAGGTTGCAGTGAGCCGAGATCACGCCACTGCACTCTTGCCTGGGCAACAAGAGCAAGACTCTGTCTCAAAAAAAAAAAAAAAAAAAAAGAAATGCAGGCCGGGTGCGGTGGCTCACGCCTGTAATCCCAACCCTTTGGGAGGCCAAGGCGGGCGGATTGTCTGAGGTCAGGAGTTTGAGACCAGCCTGGCCAACATGGTAAAACCCCGTCTCTACTAAAAATATAAAAATTAGCTGGGCGTGGTGGTATGTGCCTGTAAGTCCAGCTACTCAGGAGGCTGAGACAGAAGAATCACTTGAACCCAGGAGGCGGAGGATGCAGTGAGCTAAGATTGCGCCACGGAACTCCAGCCCGGGTAACAGAGCAAGACCTCCATCTCAAAAAAAAGAATAAAATAAAATTAGATGCAAGAAGAAATCATAAATTAAGCATTTCTTAAAACTTGACTAATAACACAAGCACCACAAAATCCAGAAAATACTGAGATTTTTTATTCATAATGGCTCGCTGTGATACCCTTTCATCCACTTTTAATTGTCTCTTTTTACAATTTTGCAATATCATTTTCCAGAGAGAAAAGAGGAAAATGGAAGGTAATCCTCAGGCCCACTAGCATGGCTGGTTTTCTTAAAGTGTGATTTGCTTTACAGAAATGTACTGACGACTGGCTATATCATCCACATGGTAAAGCCTGTTGTGAAATTTGGAGAAAACTTGCTCAGTCTTCTCTCCTCTGCAGGCTGACCAGTTTCAGGTGCTGCTTTTTTTCCCCAGGTGCTGATCCAAGGCACCCTCTGGGATGAGCCGTATCCACCGAGTTCTCGTGAGGCTGGTGTGAGGGTCCCGCATTCTCTCATTGATGTCGGCATTTCCTGTTAAATCAGCAAGATCTTTCCTCCTCTTCCAGAAGTTCCTGTGAGTCACTCCTCTGTGTTAATTGCCACGGGTGTTGCTGGAAGCTGTTTCTTCCATAGGACGTCTGGAAGGAAGTGGCTGGGAAGGGCATGGTGGAGGCTGCTGACCCGCCAATGTCTCCACAACTGAACGTCCCCCTGCCAGGCCGCAGAGTGCCCACTGCCTCTCCAGTGCCAGCCCAGCAAGAGGGAAAGCAGAGAGGGGGTAGGAGCGCTTGTGGTTAAGGAATTTTGGCTTAGCAAATTTTACAAAACTGTGTGCTGCCCTTGGAAGGGGATCTCCCAGCTTCCTGTCAATCCGTCCCACTGTGTGGACCTGCTGTGCTAGTGCTGTGATGTGGCCCAGGCCAGCACAATCCCGCTGCAGGTCCACATGTCGGCAGCACCACACTCCCTCCCGCGGCAAAGGCTACTGGCCCCTTCTAGCTTCCAGAGCTGATTTCCAGAGGCCACACACCTTTGTTCTAAAATTTGTACCTGGGCTTAGTTTTAATCAGGTGCGGTAAGGTGGCAGATGTGGAGACGACTTCCTGCAAAGATGATATATTACATTTCCCAAGAGAAGGGGGCACAGCACACAGGGCCACGGAGTGGTGGGGAGCCCCAGTTCATGGGGGCGCCGCAGGAAGGGCAAATGAGGCAGGGTGGACGCTGCCAGATGAGATCAGGACAGGGTTGGAGTTGGAGCGACTTCCCTGGGTCCTGGGCTCGGCAGCCCCTGGTCAGTCAATACCTTGCCCTGGGGTGACTGAGGGCAGGGACACTGGCTTGGTGTGAGTGTGACAAGGAGGCACCTGTGAGCTCTGGGAGCTGTGGTCTCTCCAGGATCAAGACCCCCAAGGCCAGTGCATTAAGAATACAGAGAATAGGCCGGGTGCGGTGGCTCACGCCTAGAATCCCAGCACTTTGGGAGGCCAAGGTGGGCAGATCACCTGAGGTCAGGAGATCGAGACAATCCTGGCCAACATGGTGAAACCCTCTCTCTACTAAAAATACAAAAATTAGCCAGGTATGTTGGCGGGCACCTGTAGTCCCAGCTACTTGGGAGGCTGAGGCAGAAGAATTGCTTGAACCCGGGAGGCGGAGGCTGCAGTGAGCCAGGATTGCGCCACTGCACTCCAGCCCGGGCAACAAGAGCAAAACTCCTTCTCAAAAGAAAAAAAAAATGCAGGTAATACAGTCAGAATGGACAGGAAGAAAAGAGAAAAAAATTCTACGCACCTGGAGATATAAGCCAGATTTTTAAGACAAAAACCAAGATTTTTGTTTAAGAGGAAAAAACGGAGGGAGAAAGATGCAGCAGACAGGGGCCATCCTAGGGGGGCAGCTTCCCTCCCCTCCTTCCCTTTTATCAGCCAGAGACAGAAACTAAAAATCAGGGTTTAGGGTGGATCAAAGCCTAAGCAGAAAGAAGGGATGGTGGTGGGGAGAAAGGAAAAAAACAGTAACTACCTAGATACAAGCAGAGAAAACAAAGGCCCAATTTTGCCTGTTCTTTCACCAGGAAAAAATAACGGGTGCCTCATGGTGGGTTTTCACAATCTTGAGGCTGCAGTCGCCCCTTAGGCCCCACACCCTGCACCCAGCAGGGTCTCAACCAGTGACTCCCCAGTCAGCAACCGGCCAGCATGCATTGCGCAGACGTGGCCTCTGCTCCACTCAGGGCCCATTTCAGCCACCTCGAAGCTGAAGCTGCAGTTCACCGCCACCTCCAAGGACACAGCCCACCTTTTCCAGGCTGCGCCGGGCCCTCCGCAGACCAGACCTCCTTCAGAGGCGCGGGCCCACGTGCATGGAAAACGCCTCCTACTGACACGGTACAATATCTTTTAGTTCTTTTTGGGTTCTGGTGGCAACATATTCCTCATTTCCAAATCTTATGTCCAAATAAAAACCAGCCAGGGTGGTGGCTCACGCCTGTAGTCTCAGCACTTTGGGAGGCTGAGGTGGGAGGATCACTTGAGCGCAAGAGTTCGAAACCAGCCCGGGCAACACAGAGGGACCCTATCTACAAAAAATATATAAATAAAAAATTAGCCGGGTGTGCACATGCCTGCAGTCCCAGGTACTCAGGAGACTGAGGTGGGAGGCCTGCTTGAGACTGGGAGGTCGAGGCTGCAGTAAGCCGTGATTGCGCCACTATACTCCAGCCTGGGCACAGAGCAAGACCCTGTCTAAAAACAAAACAAAACAAATTAAAATCTGCAGGCACTCTCGTTAGTGCCCTCAGAGACTCCACTGTAGAGGCGTTGGCAGCCTCTTCTTGGCCAGCTGGCATCTCTCAGCCACCCCTGACAGCCATAAGCTGCCCAGCAGCTTCTGATGCAAGAACCAGCAAGAACTTGGCCTTGTGCCATCCACTTTTTTTTTTTTTTTTTTTGAGATGGAGTCTCACTCTGTCACCCAGGCTGGAGTGCAGTGGCACGATCTCAGCTCACTGCAAGCTCCGCCTCCCGGATTCCCGCCATTCTCCTGCCTCAGCCTCCCGAGTAGTTGGGACTACAGGCGCCCGCCACCGCGCCCGGCTAGTTTTTTGTATTTTTAGTAGAGATGAGGTTTCACCGTGTTAGCCAGGATGGTTTCGATCTCCTGACCTCGTGATCCGCCCGCCTTGGCCTCCCAAAGAGCTGGGATTACAGGCGTGAGCCACCTTGCCGGGCCAGTGCCGTCCACTCTTAAAACCACAAGTGACTGGCTGACCCCAGGGTCTCCCGGGACAGAGGCTGTCACCGACCCTGAGCTTCTGGCCCCATCCCCAGCTGCCCGTATGCGCCGGGGCATAGGACCAGCACCCCACAAGCTCAGCTCGACTGCCGAGGACTCTCTAGGCAGGATGGAGGCAAAGCTATCCTTTGCTGTCTGCCACCCGTGGGAGGGGGCGGCTTCCCCTGTCTTCAGTGGCTTGCTGGATGCCAAGTGTGGGAGGAGGTCACCTCCCGTAGACCCCTGGGCTGCCTGGCAAGCCCCGTTGGACTCTCTTGAGCAAAGAGAAATGGGCGCATGCATGAGGGCACGATGCTGCTGGCCACGCTGCCTGGGGAGCCCGGCGACGGCTGCTGCTCCACCCCTGCCTGGATGCCCCAGGTGAAAGGCAGACCCGGAAGTAACGTGCCAGGCGTGGTCTCAGCCCTGAGTGCCTCTGCTGACCAGTGGCCTTTTCCCCAAGTTTATTATAAGCCACTGGGCCATTACCCAAAAGGTGTCCCCTGCAGGGCAGAGACCTGTGTGAATCTCTTGCCTCACAGAGCCCCAGAATCTAAATCAGAATCGCACACATCTCTACACACAGCAAGGCCTTCCTCCCAGCCTGTCATGGCCGGGTCTGTGTGTCTCCCCACACCTCATTGAAACAAATCCTGGGGACACATTTTAGAACAACCTTTCGATCTCTCCTGAGGCCATCACAGCCTCCTCTGTGTCAAATCCCCCTCCGCCTTCCCTGTACAGGAACACCGAGATTACACTCCGGGCCCGCCTGGACACCCGGGATTATCTCTGCGTTTTACACGCTTCAAGGAACCACGTTTGCAGGCGCTCACCATGTGAGGCGACAGGCACAGGCCTGGACAGGACGGAGGGCATCTTCGGGAGGCTTTCCTCCCCTCTCACTCCACTTTTCCCTCAGGACACCTGTGCTGCTGTTGCTGTAAATCCTAATTCCCCAGAAATATATGAAACCCTGTAACATGATTGTTTTATGCGGTTACGATTCATTAGGTTTGTACACAATATACCCTTTCTGTTGCTTTTGTTGGGGCTCAGAAAATCACACCCGGAGTGAAGGCCTTGGAAGCCAGGCCTTCTCCTGCCCCCTGTCTCTGGCCCCTTATTCTCAGAGGCAGGTCGTAGAAACCTGAACCCCTTTTCCCCAAAGCCAGCCATAAACCTAAAAGTATGACTCTAATAACTTTCCTGTCTTTCTGTGTAAAAACTGGCCATAAAGGAATTCTCTGGTCTGCCTTGTTTGACTGCAGGTGGTCAGATCCCTATTCCGGGGGATTGTGCCCCCACCCAGCAAGAAGGAGAGCTGCAGAGAGAGGCTGCCAGGAACCGAAGCAGCACACGGGCCTCACTGGGGCCCCCAGGAGTCTGTTAGCCTGTCAGGTCTTAACCTTTCGTCCAATCCTATTTCCAGACTTCACAGAGCCTGACTATAAAAATGCAGTTTCCCCTGCGCCTTTAGGTCTTTGCTCTGAAAGCTCCTGTGTCACATAAAACTACAATCCAAGAAATCTGTGTACCTTTTTGGTGAAACTTCAGACAGGGAGGGGAAGTTTTCCCATCCCCCCTGCACTCTTCACTTCCTGCACCTCTGAGCTGGGATTTGGGACTTCCTTCCTTCTACTTGAAGAACACCATTTAATATTGTCTTTTCTCTTTGAAACAGGGTCTTGCTCTGTTGTGCAGGCTGGAGTGCAATGACGCGATCTCGGCTCACTGCAGCCTCTGCCTCCAGGGTTCAAGCAATTCTCCTGCCTCAGCCTCTCAATCAAGTAGCTGGGATTACAGGGATGCACAACCACACCTGGCTAATTTTTTGTGTGTGTGGAAATGGGGTTTCACTATGTTGGTCAGGCTAATCTCAAACTCCTGACCTCAGGTGATCCACCTGCCTCGGCCTCCCAAAGTGCTGGGATTACAGGCATGAGCCACCACACCCAGCCCAATATTTTCTTTCTTTCTTTCTTTCCTTTTTTAGACAGAGTCTCGCTCTGTCACCCAGGCTGGAGTGCAGTGGCGCAATCTTGGCTCTCTGCAACCTCCACCTCTTGGGTTCAAGCGATTCTCCTGCCTCAGCCTCCCTAGTAGCTGGGACTACAGGCATGTGCGACCACCCCCGGCTAATTTTTTGTATTTTTGTAGAGACAGGGTTTCACCGTGTTAGCCAGGATGGTCTCGATCTCCTGATCTGCCCGCCTCAGCCTCCCAAAGTGCTGGGATTACAGGCATGAGCCACTGCGCCTGGCCCAATATTTCCTTCCTTCCTTCCTTCCTTCCTCCCTCCCTCCTTCCGTCTTTTCTTTCTTTCTTTTTTTTTTTTTTGAGATGGAGTCTCGCTTTGTCACTCAGGCTGGAGTGCAGTGGCGTGATCTTGGCTCACTGCAACCTCCACCTCTTGGGTTCAAGGGATTCTCCCGAGTAGCTGGGACTACAGGCACCCACCACCATGCCTGGCTAATTTTTTGTATTTTTAGTAGAGATGGGGTTTCAGCGTGTTAGCCAGGATGGTCTCGATCTCCTCACCTCGTGATCCGCCCGCCTCGGCCTCCCAAAGTGCTGGAATTACAGGCATGAGCCACCATGCCCAGCCAGTAGACTTTTGTTATACAATATACAAGGCATATTCCAAACTGTGAATGTCCCCATTGTGCACTTTATGATAATTTTTCCTGACCCGGATCCATTCCAGCACCGTACAGTGAGGACTTCTGTTTTTGTTTGTTTTACCTTCCTCCAGGGAAGGTTTACTTTTGTGTCCGCAAGTGTCCAGGTGAGCGGCTCACCTTAATTCTCTCAGGGCTTGAGGTGATTTAAGGCTGGCTTCAGTCCCCGCAAAGACAATTCTGTTTCTGGTTCACCTTTGCTTTTAGGGGATAGCCCTTTGGGGTCCCAAGAAAAGCCCAAAGTCTTTACCAGGCACCACTGCCTGAGCCTCGACTTTTGTTGTGTGGCCACAGCGTGGGGAACGCATCAGTGTGTCACCATGTCTTGTGTGGCTGGGATACGCTGTAGGGGTGTTAGGTCGCGGCCTCAAAGCTGGCCCCACCCCCTCCCGGCTTGGCCCTGCAGAGTCCCTCGGCCTCCGAGCTCCCAGCGCCTTGGACGGTTCCGTGCAGCGCTCTCCAGCTCTGTTGGTTGCTCTCAGGAGGTGGCTGGTCTGAAATAATTGTTTCCATTGCTGTGTCCAGCGCCATGGTGTGGGACTGGTGGTTTCTTAGTTTTTTTCAGTTCTCTGACGCTTTGAGGAATTGTTTTTAAAGCAGTTTATCTACCATTTTAGTTGTTTTCTCTGGGGTTGTTGGACGGAGGGTCTTACCCGCTGTTCCTGGAGACAGTTCTGTACTGGCATGTTTTTCTCGCCTTTCCCTTCCTTTCTTACCTTTTAGTTTTTCATTGAATTTTATTACTTTTTTTTTTGTATTATATTTTTCCTCCCTGCTAATTTGGAATATATACACACTATTTGTCTTTTAAATGGCTAATCATGACATTTTACCTTGCAATTTCAACATAGGTCCTAATGTTAAGAATATTTTAACCCCATCCCCAAAATAAAAAGACTCAGAACACTGTAACTCTAATGATCCTTCCCCCAACTTACAGAGGATTATTGTCCAGTATTTTCATTTTGTTAGTGGACTGTTCTTTTTTCCTTTTTTTTTTTTGGTACTTTTTTAGAGATGGGGTCTCATTTTGTCAACCAGGCTGGAATGCAGCGGTGTGATCACAGCTCGCCTCAGCCTTGAACTCCTAAGCTCAAGCAATCTCCCACCTCAATTTCGTGGGTAGCTGGGGCTCACAGGCATATGCCATCACATCTGGCTACATTTTTTTTTTTGTACAGATGGGGTCTTGGTACGTTGCCCAGGCCGATTTCAAGTTCCAGGCCTCAAGTGATCCTCCCGCGTTGGCCTGCAATCCCAAAGTGCTGGCGTTGCAGGTGTGAGCCACTGCACCCAGCCTGTTACTTTGCTTGGATTCACACAGGCATACTGGACTATGGTTGTCCTGTGGTATCCTCGGGGTATTGGTTCCAGGACCCTCAAAGATACCAAAATTTGCAGGTGCTCAAGTACTTCATATAAAATGGCATAGTATTTGCACATTACCTACGCACATCCCACTGTGTACTTTAGATTACTTATGATCCCTAAAACAATGTAAGTGCTCTGTAAATAGCTGTTACACTGTATTGTTTTAAAATGTGTATTATTTTGGCCGCCCGCGGTGGCTCACGCCTGTAATCCTAGCACTTTGGGAGGCCGAGGCGGGCGAATCGCGAGGTCAGGAGATCGAGACCACCCTGGCTAACACGGTGAATCCCCGTCTCTACTAAAAATGCAAAAAAATTACCCGGGTGTGGCCGCGGGCGCCTGTAGTCCCAGTTACTCGGGAGGCTGAGGCAGAAGAATGGCATCAACCCTGTGGAGGCGGAGCCTGCAGCGAGCCGAGATCGCGCCACTGCACTCCAGCCTGGGCAACACAGCGAGACTCTGTATTGCTTTAGCTTAAAAACAATATTTTCAGTCTGCTTGGTTGAATCCATGGATGTGAAGCCAAGTGTAAGGAGGGCCCAGTATGCTCTTCTGGGATAATTCTCCTTCTTGCTAAAGCGCACGCTTTACACGGGAGGCTGGGGCGGGAAGATCGCCGCAGCCCCGGAGATGGAGGTTGCAGTGGGCCGAGATCGCGCCACCGCACCCCAGCCTGGGCGACAGAGCAAGACTCTGTCTCAAAAACACACAAAAACAGAGAAAAACAAGACAGTAATGGCTCAACTCACATAGCACCAATGGGCCAAGCGTTCTTCTGAGCGCTTTTCGAGTCACCGGTCCTCAGAGCAACCCCTGAGGCCTGCCAGGAAGCGGAACTCCAACCCCGCCGGCTCCCGGAGGCTCCCCAGCCCCGCCCACCCGGCCATCGCCCCGCCCACCAAGGCCCCGCCCTGCCGCGGCGGTCACGTGGGGTGCGCGCCCATACTCCTATCCGGAGGCGGAACCGGCAGTGCGGCCCGAAGTCCCACAGTCACCGAGCGCGCCCGGCCATGCGCCCCCTGCGCCCCCGCGCGACGCTGCTCGCGGTCCTGGCCTCGCTCCTGGCCGCTCCCCCGGTGGTCCCGGCCGAGGCCCCGCACCTGGTGCAGGTGGACGCGGCACGCACGCTGTGGCCCCTGCGGCGCTTCTGGAGGAGCACAGGCTTCTGGTGAGCGCTCCGCGCGCCCGCCCGCGGCCTCCGGGACCCTGTGGTCGCACGGGGAGAGCTCGGGCGCCCCCTGACTGCGCACTGTGAGAGCTTCAGAGACCGGAGCTCCCTCCTCTGGGGCCCTGGCTCTCCCGGGCCCGCCCCGCGCCGTGTTTGGGGGTGGGCTGTCCAGCTGAGTGGGTGCCAGGGCGTGAGCCTGGGGCTGGGCCCTGAGCTTGCCCAGTGGCCGCCCCCTGTAGCCCAGACCGATGCCCAGGATCCTGCTCTTTGAGGTAAACCAGGAGTCTCCCGGGAGTGGGACGCCCCTGCAGCGGGACTTGGCCTGCCTGTCCCATTCCCTCCACCTAGAGCTGAGGGCCCGCCTGCCTGGCAGGGCCGGGGCCAGGGCTGGCGTTGGCCCCTCGTCTTACGGCCGCTCCCGTTCCGCAGGAAGATGGGACCTCCCAACATCCTTGGCCCTAAGGGTCATTTTATTAGTCACTGAGCGCACGCGCAGCGCCTGAATCCCGCGCCTGGGCAGTCCTGGGCTTGAACGTGTGTGTGGGCCGCGCTGCCAGCCATGCTGAGGCTCGGGACTGAGCCGCCCCTTTGCTGTCCCCAGCCCCCCGCTGCCACACAGCCAGGCTGACCAGTACGTCCTCAGCTGGGACCAGCAACTCAACCTCGCCTATGTGGGCGCCGTCCCTCACCGTGGCATCGAGCAGGTCCGGACCCACTGGCTGCTGGAGCTTGTCACCACCAGGTGGGCGACGGGTGGGGCCTGGGTGTCCCAGAGCCCCTTACAGAGGCACAGACGAGAGGGGCAGGGCTGGGGGCTGCTCAGAAGACCCCTTGTTCCCCACTTTCCGCCGAAGCACCGTGTCCTTGCTGGCTGTGCTGGGGTGAGGGCTGTGTGCTGGAGGGAGCCCCTGCATGGGGCACGGTGGGCTTCTTGCAGGTCTCCCTGGAAGCTCAGGGTGGGCTGTGCCGCACCTGTCTCCTCGTGCACCCATGAGCATCCCTGTGTGTGTTTGCTGACTGGGCTGGGCAGGGCCAGCACCTGAGAACTGAGGGGAGGTCTTAACTGGTCACAGCACCCTGGGCCCTGATGCTGGTGCAGGTGGCCACCCTGTGACAGGGAGGCACAAGGTGTGAGGGGCACTTGGGTGTGTGGGGCCTTCTGGAAACACAGAGACCCTCATGCTCTTGGCCGGAGCCGCTGGCTCCTACCAGCAGGATGGGCACTAGGCAGGCCAGGGCATAGGGGGTCCTCTTGGCACCTTGGAGGCTGCATAATGTTGGGGGGCCCTTGTTCAAATAAGATGTCAACCCCGAGCGTCAGGCCAGGCCCATCCCTGCTGAGCCGAGGGACAGCAAGGGTGTGGAGCATTGAGACCCAGCCAGCACTATGGGCCAGCCTGTCTTGGAGGCAGAAGTTCTTGATTTCTGAGTGTTTGGGTCCTGCGTGTGATCAGAGGGCCTCCTTACCCAGTCGGGGTTCCCCGGTTTCCCAGGGCAGCTGTGGCACAAGAGTGCAGCTCTTGGGCGGCTCCTCCCTGGGAAGGGTCTCAGCAGTGGCTTGCAGACGTCTGCTGTGGGCGTCCCTGGAGGGAGCAGAGGCTGCTGGACAGGCCTGGCCCTGCTACGGGTGGGCATCAGTGGCCTCCAGCTCCCTGTGGCGGGCTCGTGCTGTCTGCACGGCATCGTGCACACTGAGAAACAGCTGCTCCTCCTCAGCCACGTCCCCAGGGCCCTCCCCGAGGAAGCCTCCTCTGCTCAGAACATCTCTCACAGGGGGGCTGCAGCAGGCTAGCAGCAGGCTGATGCCCAGGGCCCCATAGTCTCGGCGCAGGTCCTGCAGCGTGGTCACGCCGGCTGCGTCCAGGAACAGCAGTGGGGCGCAGTCGATGACCACTGTGTGGAAGCCGGCCGCCGCAGGCGCCAGCGCAGCCCTGCTGCTAACCGCGCCCAGGTCCTTGCCCTGGGCAGGGCCTCCGTCGCCGACCTCCCACTCTGAGCCCCGCTCCTTCCTCCTGGCAGCCACGCACCCCGCGTCCAGCCCTGTGAGGCTGTAGAGTGACCGCAGGAAGAAGTCCTTGTTGGCGTAGTACAGTGGCCCCCCAAAGCGGAACACCCGCACGCCGGGCTCGGGGACGAGGCCCTCAAACTCTGTGGCATCCTCGTAGAAGGCCGAGTTCCCGATGCGGGCCAGCAGGGTGGCGCGTGGGCGTTGGGTGCGGCCAGCCAGGCTGAGCAGCGAGAGGATGACGCCGGCCAGCAGCCCGGCCTCTGTGCTGACCAGCATGCAGGTGGCCGCGGTGCCCGCCCAGACCAGCGCATCGGCCGGGCTCATCCGCCACAGCCGTGGGAGGTCCCACACCTTGCGCAGGGCCCCCCGCAGGCTGACCACGATGACGCAGGCCAGCACGCTTCGCTGGAGGTCGTGGAACAGCGGTGCCAGCGCCAGCAGCACCAGCAGCACCACGGTGGCGCTGACCACACTGGACAGCTGTGTCCGGCAGCCAGTGGCTGTCTTCACCAGGCTCTTGGCCAGGGCGGCGCTGGTGGCGAAGCAGTGGAGGAAGGCGGGTAGCACGTTGCAGCAGCCCACAGCCAGCAGCTCCTGGTTGGCGCGCACAGAGTAGCCATGGTTGCGGGCGAACATCTCCGCCAGCGAGATGGAGAAGGCCGCGCCCACGAGGGCCAGGGCCACGGCATCCAGGGCCACACGCTGCATCAGCCTGGGCTCCGGGACCTGAGGGGGCATGAAACCCGTGGGGATGTCGCCGGCCACGCTGGAGCCAAAGCGCCTGTGGAGCTGCCCAAAGTGGGACACGAGTGTGGCCACCACAATGACCAGCAGCTCCGTGGGCAGGGGCACCCGCAGGTGGCGTCGGTAGCGGTCTGAGAGCTCCTTCGCAGCTAGCAGCACCGCCAGGCACACCGTGCTGGTGACCACGTCGCACACGTTGGCCTGCCCAGCGCTGCGCAGCAGGCTTAGCCATGTGAGGACCACCATGCCAGGCCCCTGGTGCCGCGGGATCCGCACACCCAGCAGGTGCTTGAGCTGCGAGGTCAGGATGGTCACGGAGGCCCCCATAGCAAAGCCGTCGAGCAGTGGCTGTGAGAGGTAGGCAGACACGAAGCCCAGCCGGAGGACGCCCATGAGGACCTGTGGACAGAGTGCAGTCAGGCCAGCAGGCGCCTGGCGGGAGCCACGTGCCCCTCACCAGCACCTGGTGTGGCCCGAGGGGTGGTGGTCACGGCACAGGGCCTGACAATTCTGTTGCAGCACCATATGTTCCAAATCAGACTCCTCACACGGGCCTGTGTTCTGGCTCCACGCGTGCTCATGCCTGCAGACACTTGGGACATCCACACGGGCGTCACACATGCACGCAGTTGGCCACAGACACATCTAACCTTCTCACATGCAGAAGTCCGTTTTATTTCAGAATTAAGACCTCTGGCATCAGAAGGTAGCCCCTTCCTCCTGCTTCCCACACATGGCGCCCACTACCCCCCATGCAGATGTGGAGCCAATGGGGGCCAAGGTGGACAGGCCAAGGCAGGAGACATTCAGGGATGGGGAGGCCGTCCCCCACCCCACCTAGGACAGAAGGCCTGGGAGGCCACATGGCCTCAGTCTGGCACCACTGAGCCACAGCCACACCTGGCCTGCTGGCCCCCACCCAGGCCGTGGCCCAGTAGGCCGACTCCCCGTGCCCCTCCCCTCCTGCACCCACAGCCCCTCTGCGTCAGTGCCTCTCTCTGGGATGCCCCGGCACGCCTCAGCTCTGCCCAAGCCTTGCTGTCTTGGGCCAGCACCTCCTCTGCCAACTCTGTGCTTGCCCCCAGCCTTGCCCTCCTGGATGGCCAGCACCTAAGGGGGGTGCCCTGGGCCCCTCCCTGTGCCCAAGCAGAGCTCCTCACCTGGTAAAGCCCGGTCATCAGCGTGAGGGCGGTGGCAATGCGGATGGCGTAGCAGTCACGCCCGCAGTCCAGCATGGCATCTGAGCTGTTGAGGATGCTGCTGTTGGCCCCAGGCTGCAGGCCTTCCTGGGAGGGGTCGAAGCCGGCCAGCTGGAGCTCCCGGTCCACCACCTGCCCCACCATGAGGCAAAGCAGGCTGAAGATGCCCACGGAGACGTGCCGCGAAGTGCCCATGAGGAAGTAGATGAGGTTGGCGAAGAAGGACGTATACAGGCTGTAGATGGGCTGCAGCCCGGCCAGCAATGAGTAGGCGATGGCCTGAGGCACCAAGATGATGCCAATGACCAGCCCGGACATGACGTCACCTGCCAGGTACTCCCGCGGGCGGTACTGACGCAGCCAGCGCGTGGCGGGGAGCAGGTCCTGCACCAGCGCCCGGGCGCACAGCACGCTGCACGAGCAGCTCCGCCACAGCCTGGCCTTCAGCATCTCACACAGACCCTGGGGTGCTGGGCGCTGCCGTCGGACCAGCACCGGCCCTCTGTCCTGCTGCAGAGGCTCAGGGGACTCGTCCATCCTGCAGCGTCAGGTCCTGTGGCCAACCTGCAGCTGAGAAGAGGGCATGGTCACAGGAGCCCCTGGATCCAGGGCCAAACGACAAGGTCCCGGGCAGCAGTGGGCCCCTTGGGGCAGACCCCTCACCCACCCAGGGCCAGGGATTGGTGCTGGGCCTTCTCCTGGCAGTGCGGGCCCCAGCCCCCTGCCTGGTATGGATGGACGCCAGGCCCTGGCAGCTCCAGAACCCATCGTGGGGTGAGATGGGATTACGACACCAAGCCCATACCACGGGCTGTGCTGAGGCCAGCAGCGCTGAGGGGCGGAGTGGCAGAACCCTGTCCAGGCTCAGCTGTGGCCCACTGGCTCTGCATTTCCTGCCTGAAACCCACCCTGTAGCCTCCTGAAGCTCACCCGCCCAACGGGGAGGGAACAGGCTGGGCTGCCGCCACACACACGTGTGCTTGGGGTCAGAATGTCACAGTCAGTGGACACAGGTGCAGGCAAGCCTGAGTCCGGCTGCTCTGCATCCACCTCCCACTCCCCAGGCTGGCGAACGGTCCTGCCGTCCACCCCATGTCCACACCAGAACCCTCCCTTCCCCATCCAAACCATCGCCTCCTCTCTCGGAGATACTTTCCCCACCCCTCCGCAACCTGCCCTGTGGGTCCTGGGGCTGGCGGAAGTCTCAGGAAGAGGCCTCCTACGTCTCTGCCAAGCCTTGTGGGTGCTGGGACCCCAAGTCTGCCAGGGGAGCAGCGTTCAGACACCAGCCCAGCCCATCCGCTTGGCCTTGAAACAGAATTCTGAGAGTATGCCTAGACAGGGGCCCCATAAGGGCCAGCTGGGAGGGGAGGAGGGTGACTGGCATCTGTTTCCCCTGCCCAGACAGTTCTGGGACGTGAGGCGCCCCTTCCCAGGCTGCACCAGCTCACTGTGGAACGGCCATGACACACTGTCCCGAGGCAGCACCGAGAGGACCTAGCCCGCTGCACACAGCCACCCTGGGCTGGCAGAGCCGGAAGGGCACCTGACCTTTCCTTTGCCCTCGGAAAGCACCGTGGCATTAGGGAGGCGGTGCTTAGAGGCCTGACCGGTCCCATGTGAGGCCCTGGGTCTGTCCTGTTTGCAGGCTCCAATGTACTTTCGCTTTAAAAACTTCTCAGCAATGTTAGGCAAAGACTTTGCTCCCAGGACACCAGGTGCCCAGGACACCCTGCAGCCTGGGCTAAGCCTGCTGTCTGCACGCTGGCCCAGGGTGTGGGAGCTGCAGTC